ACTAGACTATTGTCTAAGCTACACTGGTACTTTATACATGGTAAAAATTATTAGTAGTATAGATGGATATAAATTTTGTATAGGACTTAAAATAGCTTTTGTGATATTGATATCACAATAAATAAAGATCATTTATCTTTGTTGATTGCATTGGGGTTGATATTATTCACTGTATTTAAACTGCTCATATAAGGTATTTGACTCTCATGCTAGAGAAATATAGAAAAAGTCATCCACAAGGGAATTTGTGCTATTTCATGTATCGTCTACAAACAATTTGGTGCAGTCTTTTCAAAGTTTAAATGGGTTTACAGAAACATTGAATTAAGGCATAAAAATTGCTACTGCTCTTATAGCTATAGCAAACAATCAAACAGCTGATAAAAACAATATAGCAGAATCACAAAACACTGTTGAGAGCTGTTTTGCAAAATCCCTTTATTCTATTTTTTATTTGATCATTACAACCTGCAATACTCATAGGACAACAAATACATTTACATTGCAATTGAAAGAAGTGACTCGCAATGCAACTTCTCTAAATCTGAATTGTTCCTGAAACACAGATTTTTAATACTCAAATAAAAAATAACCTTACTAGAAAACAAAACTTCATTAATGGTTGTATGGAAAAGTAATAAATCAAATATTGATGAAAAATAGATAGGCTCCAGACTTTATTTTCTCCATGAAAATGCATCTCAATTGGAAATTGCTCCAGGAAGCCCATGTAAGCACTCTCTGAGCGTCTAGTTAATTATTAAATTCTTAAATTCCGGTGGTCCAAGCCTGACATAATACATAGATAGATAGATTGGCTAAAAGGTAAATTTAAAGTCGGACCGCCTTCGGCTAGTCCGAACAATTACATATGAAAGTAAATTATGGCGTAAAATATACCTAGCTTTACTTCAACTATATACTATATTCTAGTGAAAATAACATGTTATGATTATCAAAAATTATTAGACTCCCAATAATTTTACTTGTAGCTACTTGTTATGCATTAATTCGTCCTATTGCGCGCTAAAAACACAGTCGCCGTTACATTGCTGTCATTTTGTGCAATTTGAAATGGTCTTAGTTTTCGATTTTGTTGAGTGACTAAATGACTTTGTATTTATAAAGAAAGGTGATTTTAATGGACAATGCTCATAAATGATTTTTTTATATTGTTCTAGAAAGAAGATGACCCAGATTACCTTGAAGTAGTACCAAACAGTGAATTTGTGATCTCCCGTAAAGCCTACAAAGATGACTCCTCTGATTACTACATTAATAACTGCAAGAGACCATTTAAGGAAGTAGCTGCGCTTTTGAGGTCTTCTGGAATTGACATGTATCACAATAGGTTCTTGATTTTTCAGGTAAATTTACTGTATTAAAAGGGCAATGAATTTCTGCACTACAGCACATGACCATGATTGAACATCATAAATGAGATTCCGGAGTATAATTGCCCGGGCTGTTGGACTAGATGCGTACGTCCTAACTTGTTAAGCTAACTTGTTAAGCAGCTTCAAGTCAAAACTAAGCTCTATTTGATAGTGAACTCACTTGATAAAGCTTACAGATGTATATACATCCATTCTATTAAAGGGTGAGTTAGATCAGATTGCTATGATGAAGCCCAAGGCTGTTTCAGAGCATGAGGACGGCATGTTGGAATACTTAGAAGACATCATTGGTTCAAACAAATATAAAGAGCCAATTGAAGAACTTGCGAAAGAAGAAGAGGCACTCAGTGAGGTCTTTGCTGAATTGGTATGTTTCAAACTATAATGAAAGTTTCTGTGCATAAAATTTATATAGTTAGTGTACCATTGACAATTTTCACGTAATGATGCTTCCTTCGAACACTAGTTAATAGAATATTTATCCATCAGTTACATTGTCATTGCCTGAAAAAAAGTTTGATTTGCCTGTTTTGTATTTAGTCAAATCGTGTAAAAACACTAGAAAAAGAAATGAATGACCTGCAAGGATACAAAGATGAGGCAATAGCATATATCAACATGGAAAACATGATTTCAAAAAAGAAAAACGTTTTGTATCAAAAATATGCGTAAGTGATAATCTCACCATTTTATGGATGTCATTGGTCTGATCTAAACCTAATAGTGCTCTCTACAAAGCTTGTTTTGGACTTTCCATCGTTTTGTAATTACATGATACTAGCTAGTAAAGCCATGTGTAAGATTTTGTTCTTATGCAACAGTGAGGAATGCCTAAAGAATGAAGGGACAGCTGCCGAGAAGATCAATGAGCTTAAAGCAGCATTTGAAGCAATCTGCAAAGAGATGAACGAAATCACAAGTTAGTACTGTACTCTCAAGTTATGGTGCATTGTTTCAATGTTATATAGAAAACTACATTATTTCAACAAAACAAGTAAATGAGGCTTTAAACATGGCAGAAGTTGGTGGATTAATGTATCATTGTAGAAGCTTGCAATTAGCGACTGCGCAATATTTCTCAGGAGGGGGTGGGGTGGCGTTGAGTAATAAGCCAAAAATCCAAAAAAGTTAATTACTACTCCCCCTCGCAAATGAACTAAATTAAGCTCTGCCCCCTCTCCCCCCTTATTGAATGTGAATAAAGAGTTGACACAAATCGTGCCACGCTTTTCTTGAGAAGTTTTCGAATCTGACACCGTTGATTTTTCAGTTTTCAAGTAAAGTTCTAGTTAATTTCAGACGTTGCCTCCCCTCTTTAAGCACATAAGGTTAGATGTGCCCCCGTCTAGATTTTCAATTCCCCTCCTGATAGATATTGCGCAGTCCCTTAGTATTAGACATTACATCAGGCTTCTGACATTGGCAAGTAATGATTAATTATTGCTCAGATCAAAAGAAAGCCAAAGAAAAGGATCACAATGAGATAAAGAGGTATTAAAGGTTTACATCAATTGAATTGACATTATTCATTTATATCAGCCCTTACAATTATCAACTATGCGATGCTGAATTATGCTATATTCACACAGTTTCATTGTGCTAGTTTAATTTCTGTTTTTTGTTTTTGTTTTTTTGTTGTTGTTTTTGTTGTTGCTTTTTTTTAATTATACTGAGTATCTGTTAAGGGGGCTAACTTCTAGCATCAAATAAAAAAGAATCAAGCCGCCAATGGCAACACAACTCGAAGATTGTTAGACAAGTATACCGTGGACATAAATCTGTATGAAGCCTCAGTCTTTGTTTAGATATGGTCTAATTTTGACAAAATCTATAAAATGAAAATATTGAACTTAATAATTCATAATATGCATCCGTAACACCTTTAACGATATCGACTTTAAACAATTCACAGGCGGTTTTCCATTGTCTGTACTCTTACTGGCAATGAAATTGACGTCAAAAATGCTCAAAACTCAAGTGGAACCACGAGCGTAAGCGAGTTTTGAGTTTTGAGCATTTTTAACGTCAATTTCATTGTCAATAAGAGTACAGACAATGGAAAACCGCCTGCGAATTGTTAGTTATCAACACCATCACAATTTCTTAGTTTTCAGTGATGATACTTTCACTTAGAATGTTGACCGTTAAAATTTATATTTTGAGTTCTTAAGTGTTGTGTAGTGTCGTCCGTGCATCGATTTTTTACAAAGAATAAAGTTTATATGAATCGATGAGCATTATCGGTATTTAAAAATACCGATCGACATGGATCGAAATAATCCTTGAAATCATCGTAATAGAATGCTGTATCTATGAGCCATATTGGCACGATATCTCCTAAAACGACTTCTGAAATCAACAGATTAATTGGTAAGAATCTTATACAAGAACGTCCAGGCCTCAAAAATCACATTTTGTGTGTTTAAAAAAGCCATTTCTGTATCGAAACACCTGTCCATCTTGGTTACGGACTTCTAAATGCCCGTATGTTTACAGAAAAAAATAAGTGACCTATTAACTAGTCCACCTCACCTCACACACCATCATCTATCTCCCTCCTATAACTCTTCGATTGCTTCGCAATCTTCGAGTTAAAAAGGACCTCTCATGAGTTTGCAAGTGGACTATATTGACGATTATATAAATTGTTCATTTTGTCAGGCAATATGATGAACTTTTGCGAATTGCTGAAAAAACAAAGAAAGATTATTTAGATTATGAAAAAGTGGATGTCAAACTTAGAGAGGTAAGAAAGTGAATGGCAATTGTGAGCAACCAGAAGGTTATTAAGGGAACGTGTCTCCCTTCCAATACTTAATCACATTATATCATTGGTAGGACCTAGCTTATTCCCAGGACAATGTAAAGAAACTAAAAATTAGTCTGGGAAAAGAAAAAATCAAGGTGAGAATATCTGAAAGTATAATTGAAATTATATTAACAAACGTAGTGAGAAATATATGAGAAAATAACTGGGATATTTCCATTTACTGTGCTTCGGACCACTCTTTAACGCATAAAAAATGCAAAAAATATAGGTATGACGTAATCCCAGCTTATAATCATAGGCCGCCCAACCATTGCTTGAGAGAGAAGCAAACGAATGCGCCGACTGTTATGTTATCTGCGCGCGTTCTTAGAAAAATGCGGATTACCTGTGTTATTACGTCACGATCCCGTTCCTCGCGGTTCTACACTAGTCTGTGACAAGATATGAAACACTGGTCATGTGACAAATCTAATTTTGCTCCTATTTCTCCAAAGATAACAGTAAACTACAATTTTATCTACAAAAATTATGTGCACTATGATTTTCTAACTACTTCATGGTTTTGAGCGTTTGGGCTTCATTTTACGATAAGAAAATGATAATAAAGCGTTTGGATCGCCATGGACCGATGTGTGCACCAGGTAGCTGGGACACTTTTTCGGAGAACGCTCGGGTTTAAACATTCGCAAAGTCTTCGGAAGGCTTCGGAGAGCTGTCGCAAAGTACGAAAGTGAAACGAAAGTAGTTTTGTAGCTGTCGACGAAGGGTCGGCTTTGGTGACACAAACGTGTTACGGATTGCTTGCGTGCTGTTTCCATTTTACGTAAAACAAGTCTGTAAAAGGAGTAAAAATTTATAGTCGTTAACGACTAGCTACAAGCTTTCGGGAGAACCAATTCCTCGAAAAGTGTATTCTCCTACTTTGTTTGATTTTTATGGACATGCTCTCTTAAATTTGTGTGGAACGGAAAGAAACCAAAAATAAAATATTTAACTATAATAATAGATTTTGATCAAGGTGGAATCCGCTTACCTGATGTGGAAACAACGGTCAAAGTAAGCCGTATTCGTTTGGCTTTAAAGTTTATATATAAGCTGACAAGAATGCTTTATACTGGAAATCGGCGGGAAATAAATATTTTGCCCAAATAGGAGACTAGATTTTCATGAAAACTGTGATCAGACAAAGTTTCCTAAGATTCCAATGTTTTACAAAGAAATAATCCAGAAAAACCTGAAAAACCTAAATCCCAACTATTTTCTTTGAAGATCAAAGTCGCGATGCAACGGTTTCTGCTGTAATAAGACTTCAAAACAACTCTATTTCTATTTATACGAAGTTTGCTGAATCAATCATCAATAATTTGTAAAACTTTAAGCTTTCGACCTAAGCGGTCATCTTCAGGGAACACAAAGACGTTACAAAAACAAAAACGCATTAAACTAAAATGAAACTCTATTTTCTGTCCAACATTATTACTGACGTGCCTGTATTGTATTCAATGTCTACCACGTTTCAGGTAACTTGTAGCACTTGTAATTTGACTTCTCGGCAGTACTTAATCGATGAAATCGATAACCGATTAAAGTCGATATCCATCGATTAAAATCGATGTCAATTAATCGATAAAATCGTCGACATTCAATCTCCTCTTTTTGAACTCCTTTGAATTTTTTGATCTGTTGTTTTGTTGGTTCACATGTAGATCACAGGTTGCTAATATTGTTTAGGAGAGGCCTCTGTAGACAACAAGGGGCCGTTATGCATGAGCATGCGCGCAACCGCTGCGTTATAACGACCATGGGCTCTAGAATACGGGTAGAATAACATTGTAGTAGCTGCGGGAAGCTTGGATTCTGAACATAATTGATGCTTTTACTTATCTTCCACATTTTTCCAAACAAAACCAAGTAGATATATTTACAYTGCACACGAATATCTTTCAAACTTTATATAAATTACTGTGAGTCDCGGGCTAGATTTATAACACGAAGCCACTTTGTACCGTTAAAATGTAGTGAATTATTTGTGCACACCTTTAGCAATAATAAATTCCTAAGATGCGAATCGATTGCACTGCAATAGTTTATTTRATAACTTATAATGATACAGCTATAGAACTACACATAGATATGTATGATAACTTGATTCAAACAAGCTCAACTCTTCAGCCAAAAGAATGCTAAATCTGTCGTGAGTGCTCAACAGCACGTAAGAATTTGCAGAATTAACACCGTTCCACATTTTTCATAGACAAGAAAACATTATCAAACCATTTGCAAAGCATAAGTCTTGATATTGGTAGCCTTATCCTAATGAGTCCTGGTGGTATATAAAAGGAAAGTAGTATTTCATGTAACAGTTAATAATATTTAAGCGTAAATATTGTACACTTCAAGAAACTGTCTTTCGAACATTTCGAGGTCGATGTTACTAAACGATGCCTAATTATATTACTACATGTGTACATTTACCATTTACTTCATGACCTGCGTTGAATCTTGACCAGCACTCAGCAAAAACTGGAATAGTAGTTGCGTATGTAAACCACTGCAGCCTCCATATTGTAAACACAAAGTCATTAATATCAACATTTCTTAAATAAGATTTTAAACGGTCCCAATCAGTCCAATAACGCCAGTGTTTTTCCTCGTTGTAGGTTACACTATTTATGAGTGTTCTTGAGTCATGACAGAACATTTCAGGGTCAAAAACAGCCAAAAACATTTTTGGAAATTGTCCTTCGTGTCGTTGTAATTTCTCGCTTGAAGTGAATTTCAATGAATTTTCAACAGACTGGCGCATGCGCACGCCAAACGGCCCCTTGTTTCTGTAGACTGGTTGTTTGATTTAGTGCATGTTTGTTAGTTTTGAAGTTCAGGCAGTTCTTAATCGACCTTTTATTTCCCTCTTTTTCTAAAGACAAAAATAAAAGAATTAATGGACAAAAAGAAAGTTGCTAATGATGCCAAGTCAAAGGTGAATTCACTTGTAGAAGTTGTTTTGGTTATTGTTTCAAAGATTCCCAATTGTACCCTACACAACCTTATAAGCCAAATAAAGGATGGCTGGAATATGGCAAATAATGGCAGTTGTTCTAGGCTTAATAGCCTACATTTTAATGCTCTTTTTTAAGGTGGATGTTGCTCAGAGTGAACTTGAAGTCTACAAAAGTCAAAATGAAAGTGCAATGTCCCATCTTAGAGAAATGAGGAATAAACTTGAATCCGTGATACAAGAACACCAAACAAAGAATAGGTAGGGAACTTAAATGCACTTTTTAGGGTATAATATTTGTTAGCAGGTTTTCAAAATTATAAACTGACTTCTGTGTTACATGTGGTATAGATAAACATAACATTGGCCTATTGCATAATGTATTCTTCACAATATTGTTTGGTTTAATTTCTAGTGAGATGAAGTCCTTAGAGGATGATCTTCAGGAAACAAAAAAAAAATATGCTGACAGCCAAAAGGATTTTCTTAAAGGCGTAATGAAAGAAGAAGAAATAATGCACAAGGTTTTATTTTTATTGATTGTTCTGCAGGTTATGTTATTTTACATGATTTTACAATTATGTGCATCTTTTGTGCTTATCAGATTAAGAGACATAAGGCGACATTAGGAGGGTCTAGGAGAACAGAAATGTACGTATAATATATTAAATGACTTTATGAAACAAATATGTCTGACTTGATACCTATGCCATGTCATGCCCTAAATAATTGTGACTCTATTAGATAATTCTGTAGATGATTTCATGGTATTATTTTGTGTTGTGGATACATTCAATTCTGCAATTTCTTATCATTTATTAATAATATAAACTTGACTGGTGCATATTTCTCATTATTATTGATAGGATTCTAGAGGTGTTAATAAAGCAGAAGGAGTTGGGCAATATCAAAGGTCAAATTTATGGCAGACTGGTAAGCCCATTTCAAATGCAGAATTATAGGTGGGGCGTACGAATACGTAGTTTGTTAACATCCAAAATATAAAATTCAAAAAATAAGCAATTTGAACTCAAATAATTAATCCAGTTTTTTTTTTCAAGTTTTTTTTTATATTATTATACATTGTATATTATTACATTATATTAATGTCAACAATTAAACCTGAAAATTTTAGGGCAAACGTCTTTTTACATTTCGAGATATCGAAAACTACAAAATCTATAGAAAACATTCAGTGGTTGGCACAATAATGCCAATGACGGTCATTTCTTTAGAAAATCTTGCAAATTCGGTGCTTGATGTCTCTTGAAATATTTAACCAATTGGCTTCAAATTTGCAGGAATTGTTAACAGGTATAAGTTCTTTTCATTTATTGGCTTGATTTTCTTGTGTCTTGAAATTCGATTTCTGACTTTTATGCAAATTAGCTAAAACATAAAAATTGGCGCCCACCTATACAATATTATTGGAAAGATGCTCATTTTGACAACTGTTCTTCACACAAGGTTTTTTTCACAAACTAAAGTGTCATGTCTGTGTGTAAATGATTTTCTATTTGTCTTGTTGATAGGTTGATCTTGGTAGTCCCATTGATGATAAATATGATATCGCAATCTTTACATCCTGTGGAGAAGCTCTAGATATCATAATTTGTGATACCATGGAAACAGCTATAGCATGTGCAAAGTATATTGAAGATCATAACCTAGCAACTGCAACCATGATTGGTCTTGATACGATGTTGAAGTGGAAAAAGGCATCTTCTGTCAAGATAGAGACTCCAGACAATGTCCCTAGATTGTATGATTTAGTACATGTCCAAGATCCTAAAATATCTCCAGTATTCTACTATGCTTTGGGGAACATACTAGTTGCAGACAACCTGGACATCGCTTCTAAAATTGCTTCACAGGGAAACAAACGTTGGAGGGTTGTTACACTAGAAGGAGACATTGTCGAAAGAGATGGAGTTATAATCAAACCTGGTGAGGATATAACTGTACTTAATAGATAATTACTTCGGCACGCAGTATTCCTAGGTATAATGCAGTCAGCATAGAGAAAAAAGAAGTCAAGAACCATTAACCTTATGTGAGCTCTCGCTTTATTTTTCTAGTACTCCTACTTTCAACTTTAAAATTGTTTTGAAAATGCTAATATACCGTTGCCTAACTCATTTTTAGTTCCCCATACGTTTCTTTGTAATTTCCGGGGTCTTTGT